TGTCCTTGGCAATATTTTTTTGATCTGGTCGAGTACTTCTGATTAATTATGCAGCATTCCCCCCCTCCCCCCGTCCGCGATTTCCCCGGTCTGCGAACGTTTTCGTATGAACAGAACTGAAGCACTTCGACTACATCAATACAAAATATATTTACCGCGTCAAAATTTAATGGTTTCCAGATGTTTGATATCAGCGCACGTTGAGCCTGGAGAAATGACAAAGGGTTTGAAAACGTTTACGTCCAATTAAAACCGGACCCACCGCCGGGTGACATTTTTGGTGAGAGGCGTTAGGTTTAAATAGTCGAACTTTGGAGAAAGGAACGTTTTGGCAATAAGGCTTACAATCAACACAACAGTATGTGGAGTTAAAGTGGACATGCCCCCAATAAACCTCCTGATAAGTTCATGACTTGTTTTAGTTAAATGCTATTGCTGCAGCGGCAGCAACATGCAATTATATCGGCAGCGTCATTATAACGGCCACCAGGGTGCATTACAGTACTGGCCCCCCCATTGTCCCGATACCGTTTGGGAGGCAGAAAATTTAAAGCGGCGGGCCCCCGGCTCCATCATGAACATAGAGGGAAACACGAAATGACATATTAAATGTGGTGTTGAATGACATTGACGCAGCACACTCCTCGGCGGACATACTTACTCGACTATTGCGGTGTTGCATACTGCTTTCGAGTCGTTCTTCTTTTTGACCCGTTGAAAAAACGTCCACACACTGAAATTTTTCCCTCTTTCAGTTTAAACATCCCCACACAATCCTGTGCTGCCCACATGTCGCGTGCCAAACAAAATACACATCGGCCTCCTCCTCCCCTCCTTCTCCTCATCCCCTCCCATCCCTCTCCCGAAACACACAACAGCCAACGTAGAGGATATTACAAATGCGAGTTGTGGATAATCGGCCCAGGTTTTACCCATCGACGGATGCCGATAGTTAAAAAATGAGAACAGCAGATACCGATATAATGCCGATATACTCGGCATCCCTAGTCCCATTTAGAGTAAAAATAGCATGGATAAGGCAGGGTAATATCATTGTTGGGCGTGGGCTACCTTATGATTGACAGGTCATCTTAGTGAGTCCGTCCAGCACAGCACACCTAAACTGCTGATCAAATATGGAGCAAGATTCTGTTACTGTGTTTGTCTATTTCACAATCGTTCTCATTAAACAAATATTTTAGTGTACTGTTTACTGTAATACGAGATCAGGGCGAGCCCCATTGTTTCCTGTCAAAATTGCGCAGCCAATGCGATCTATGGAAAGGTTCAAAGGAAAAATGCTTGCACAGATGGTTTCATACTAAATCCCCTTATGTGCCAAACTTTGTGTGCTTGAATATATCCTAAATATTTAATATAATATCAAAAAAGGACTAAACTCAGACTTTGGACTATGCTGAATGAAGAAGAAATACTTTATTACTCAAATGGGGAAATTCCTTTTTTATCTTACTTTTATCACACATCAGCCTCCGAATATAAATTCATGTGGAGAGATGGGTGGGGTGATGGAATTTCAAACATGTAGGGGGCACTCCGCAAGCAGTTATGGGTTTGACTTGCCTTGCTCAAGGTCACCTTTGGCAGGTGCACAGCGAGGTGTAAACTAGCAACTCATCCAGCTGCCAGTCCACACTCTACCATATTGTAGCGGGACTTAACCGGCAGCTCGTCTGGTATTCCCCTAGCAAGTCTCCAAGAACTGAAGCTACTGCCGCCCCAACGATTCATGGTATGACATCATTGGAGTATGTGGATTTAAGGAGCTTCTAATTCAATTTATTTGTATAGCGCCAATTCATACAGAAGTATCTCAGGACTTTTAAAAGAGCAGGTCTAGACCAAACTCCTTTATTTACAGAGACCCAACAGTACCACCATGAGCAAGACCTTGGAGACAGGGGCAAGGAAAAACTGCCTTTTAACAGGCAGAAACCTCGGACAGACCCTTCGGCTCTAGGTGGGTGGTCATCTGCCTTGACCAGCAGTTGGGGGAGAGAGAGAGAGACAGAGAGAGAGAGAGAGATAGTGGAGTGATGGGCTGCCACGTTTGCAGCACCCCATGAGCAGTTTCTTGGGGTTAGGTTGCCTTGCTCAAGGGCGCCTCAGCAGTGCACAGGAGGTGAAGCTGGCACCTCTCCAGCTACCAGTCCACACTTCATACTGTGGTCCAAGGGACTTGAACCGGCGACCCTCTGATATCCAAGCCAAGTCCCTACACACTGAGCTACTGCCGCCTCAAAAGGATCTGTTGGTAGTCATATCCACATATTTCACTACAGTTTACACATCATTTTTAAAGTTAAAGCACTGCAATAATATTTTTTTAACGCAACTTCACTTGAAGCAGCTCTGAAGCAGGTGACATGCTCTCGGTGAGCGTATGGGAGATGCAGCTGTCACGCACCAGATCCTTTGTTTTACAAGCTGTAGATCCAATACGAAGCAAGCTGTCAATACACAATCTAAGAAAAAAGCAATGAACTTTTGGAGATGAGATCTTTTAGAAAAGTTTGTAATCACAACTTTTCAAATCCACAATGGCACTCCCACTGTGAAGCAACACAATCACAGATTTGTCAAGAAATGTGAAGTCACACAGATCTGCAGTTGTGCAACTCAGGATTGTGGACATTGTGTTTTACTGTTCGCATATTTTTTTGTCTCAAACAAAAGGCCACAATTTCATTTGTCATTAATAGTATTTTTTGGGGGGCTTTTATTGCCTTTATGAGAGTGACAGCTGAAGATAGACAGTAAAGGGGAGCAGAGAGAGGGGATGTCACATAGCAGAGGGCCGCAGGTCGGATTCGAACCCTTGGCCGCTGGAGGAAGGACTCAGCCTCGGTACATGGGTTGCCAGCTCTACCCACTGAGCTAAAAAGGTACCTGTCAAAATTTGAGTGCCCTGCCTTGTACTACTGACATTTAAATTGTATGAGTGAAAAAGTGTGTTGCTGCAGAGGCGAGGGGCCCAATTGCAAACTTCTGCTTTTGGTTTTTAACCTCAACCTGGGAACACACAACTGTCTGCTGGGGGATTTCAAGCTGGATTCTTTCAAATCTCTAAAACACTGCGCAGATATTCAAATTCAATAAATGTGGATGACAGTTTCCTATTTCTTTGCATAAAATAAAACTTCTTTGAGCTGAGCTCTTATAATGTTTATGTACGTATAACGTAAACTCTTGTACTTGTTCTGTCCCTATTTCCCAGGCAGTATAATGTGACAGTACACTCACAGTATCACATCACGGTTTCATATCACAAGTAATATTACAGTGAGAAACACCCTGCTACAACCACACTGACTGAGAAAATAACCATACATTTGTTTGGTAATTTGTAAATGGTGAATGAACTGTACTTGTATACCACTCAAAGCACTTCACACTACATTCTCCCATTCACATATGGTGTGATGACAAAGGCCATCAGAAACAAACTAATACTCATTCACACACACACACACACACACCCCAATGCACAGCATCCTGCTCAAGGACACCTACATGCAGCGAGGAGCCAGGGATCAATCTGCCAACATTCTGATTAGTGGATGACCCACTCTACCTCTGAGCCACAGCCGCTGATGATCACAGCTGTGATAACTGATTTTTCCATCTTGTGCCATCATCAGGTACATTTTTTTATTATCTGTAGAACTAGGATAGTACATATGTAAATATTATACCTGCTAAACATCAATGCTAGCATTGCCTAAAGCTTTTAGCCTTGCAGTCACATTTTGTAGCAATGACTGTGATGGGAGCAAAGTGAGTATGTTATGAGGGGTGAACATTTCAATATTCATACACACCAGTGCCGTAAAGGCCTCACTAGCACCTGAGGGGTTACACAGGAATCATGTGGTGTGTGTTTCATTTAGGTGTAATGTTAACAAGTTAAAATGATTCCATATGCCACATCTATGTTGTACTTTATGCTGCATGCTCACATACACTACACCAACAATACTACACTACTCTAATGTCCTCAAAAAGATGAAAGTTAAGTAAGAATATTTAGAGTAATGTTACTATTTGTAATAGTAACATTACTCTAAACTAACGTTAGCTAGTGTTGTACACTGTCGACACTGTAGGGAAGCGGAGAATGAAGGCAGTCTTGAAAAATTAACATCAGATCCTTTGGATTTTCACTGAAAATCCTACCCTCATCCCCACATATAAACACATATAATCAGTTAACAGGCAGCAGAGAAAGTTGGTGAAGGTCTAATTTTGAATTCACGTTACAACCCTCAACCTGCACTGGCAATAAAAGGTGATTAAAAATTTAAATTCTTTAGAAAACCTTTAATAATAAAAGTATCCTCTGGTACAGGCTACTTTAGTCATCTGTAACTTGTACAGCCATTGTGTTTGACCTTTTTTTATATGTCAGATAAATCAAACAAAGCTGTGAGAGATGAAAGAAAAGCAAAAAAAAAAGTATTATTCAGTTTTTTTAAACTTTGGTTTAACATGTAGCCTAAATATAAAGTTATTGGTCCTACTCAATCACCTAACAGAGCTTCCTGTGTGCAGTACAGAAATACTCTCTGATTGTGAATGATAAAGTACCAACATGTTTCCTATTTCAGTAAAAGGACTAGAGAACAAAGCAACACCGACCTGAACGCAAACAGGTAAAAACATATTAAAAATCGGATAATTAATCAAGCTACTTACCATTTTGTCCTAAACTGAAGCAGCGTCAGAGGCTGAAGGGATTAAAACAACCACGATCCACCGAAAACTGTAACAGAGAAAGGAAGAGAGGCGGTTGGTTATCAACACTTCCTGTATTTACTAGTGGTTTGTACTTTCCGTGGCTAAGCAGTCAGCAGTGTTTCTCCTGAGAGAAAGGCCTGAACGACTTTAAACAAAACACTATTTTCAATGACAGTTTACTCATTTTGCACCATCTAAGCTTTTATTTTTTAAATCCATCACACAAGTCCTAAATAAATTCATCCTGTAGACAAAAGTGTGATTTTTCTGAGGACCATAATAGGCATGGTATAAATGTACTCAAAATAAAAGAGGATGTGAGAAAATATAACTCAAAATAGAGATTTAAAAGAATGACTTTTCCAGTACATCCACATCATCACAGACAAAAACACAGCTAGAGTTACTGTACATGTTAAAAGGTTATAACGGTGCATGTTACTCAAAGAGGAACTGTAGATACACGGGCATGAGGCTCTTTCAGCAGAAATATTTGCCATAAAGTGTCTCAGCTCAGCGACTGATGGCTGTCACGTCAGCTGGCAGCTGATAGAGAAGAAAGAGGAAGTCCAGGTATCAGTGGGTTTGATCTACCTTCCCCCTTCCCACCCCACAGTCATGGGACAGACAGCCCTGAAGCCCATATTACAATAAGAGACACTATTTTTTTCCCCTCAAAACATTTATTTAGTTCATTAATATCAACTGAATTCCTTTTTGTTTGTTTTTCATTATTTCTAATATATGTATCATTAATATTACTATGGATAATATTTTTACTGCTTCTATTCTTCTTATAATTATTATTATTGTATTACTATACCCATATTCACAAAACATATGTGCCGCAATAAATCCTCCAACACTGCCAATTAAACGGAAAGGAAAAGAGAAAACAAACAAACAAAATCACACAAGGTAACATTCAGGGCTTGCACATATATAAAAACAGACACTGATGAGGACAGTCAGTATGTGTAACAATATCATTATTACCTCTATTATGACTGTCCTATGACTGTATGGATCCAGACCAGCACCGGGTTGATGTCCAGGTGGCAGAAACAGTAATCAGACTTTGTAAGAGCGTCAGTAAAACGTGGACTTTTTTACTCGAGAGCAGCATGCACTGATTCTGTCCAGCAGATGTCGCCATTTACTGAGTTTACACTGCTGTTTTTCCCTTCTTTTTTTTTTTTTACAGCTGCACAGTGCTGTGCGCAGCCGCAGTGAATGAGCTGCGTCAAGTGAAAGAAACGCAACTTACACCGGAAACAGAGGGCTTGTCTTTAAAATAAAATATGCATATTAACATAAATTAAAATCCTTTCAAGTTAACCGGTTTTAAGGGTCCAAAATAAAAATGGATATTTTAAAATTTGTTTGTACTAACCTTTTTTAGGGCGCATTTCTGAGCAGAGGCACAAACTGGGGCCATATATCCACCCACACAACAGCAGCATCTTACTGATAATTATCTTTTTTTATCCTGAGATGATAGGTGGGTTACTCACACACAATGGTTATAATGAAGCACGTGTCCTCCTGTGTTGATAACATTGTAATGTGAATAATAAAAACGTTTTAAAAATGTAAAAATTGTGAATCTAAATGTCAACACAAATGAGTCTATGTTTGTAAATGTCCAGTACGGAAAGTGCAGTTTGTGTTAGTGAATATTTAAAAACTTTAATATACTAGCCGATATTTTATTTTGAAATTTCAAGATCGGATGTCGCACTGCTGCTTCATCTTTGGCGCTTCCCGCACCGCACAGACGGGGAGACGGAGGCGGCGGCGGCGAAAATCGGGGAGGAAACAGTACGCGCGGCACGGCACGCCTGAAGTCGGTGTCCCGCTGTTTGTCCGAACGTTAGCGAACCCTTGCGTGCTCTCTCGTTCGATCTTTCGGATATAACCAACGCACGCACCCGGACGACAGCGGAAAGAGGGGGGAACATTATGGCGACGTTGGGACCGGAGTCGGCTCGTCCTTCTCTTTCCCAGCTCGTTTCTTCTCCGTCGATCCAGACTCACATCGGCAGCGTCAACCTGCCACCCAACCGGGGCTTGGAGCGGGCGCTGGAGGAGGCAGCGGCCAGCGGCGTCCTCAACCTCAGCTCCCGAAAACTGAAGGAGTTTCCCCGGACAGCCGCCAACCAGGACTTGACGGACACGGTGGAAGCAGGTAGGGGTCTCTGGCATCTCTCCCGGGTTAGCCTTAAAAAATAGAACCGGGTAACACTGGTGCTGGGCGGTAACGACCCTATGTTACAGCTGCGTAGATACTTTGATCATTGCTCTTTAATTACAGTGCTACCATTTCCGTTACTTGTTTAAAAGAATGTGTTTACTCATTGAGCCACACTGGGAGTCGAACCCCCAACCCTGGTGCTGTTAGAGGGTTTGTGTTACTTTGACCTGAATGAACCTACATCCACAGCTTGTGCTTCATGTGCTCCGGATGCACAGTTGAATGGAAGTCCTCCATGGAGTACTGGTGGACAGTTGTGTGCTCACACTGACACAGAATGACCTGTGTGCTCTGGCAGTGCACACAGGCCTGAAGACACTCGTGGAAAAGGTCCTTATGTTTCCAGCTTGCAGTGAATCTATCTATCAAGAGTGTTCAGAGGCCCTACAGTGGAATTCCCCACCACTTCCTTTTAATCCATTTACAGCTGTAAACAGGCATGGAGAGCAGGGTGCACACAGACAGAGTCCGTCTGTGCTGTTTTATTTACAGGAAAAGAGTTTACAGATCTTTTTTATTATAAGAACACACAGTTTAAATCATATTTCCTAGTGAAAGGTGTGTTTTTGTTCAGTAATCAGGGTTCTTACGTGTCCTGGACATTAAGAGACTAGTTTTCCAGTCTTGTAAACAACTGGAAATTGATTAAAATGACCAAATATCCTGGATATAATCGACATTGTCCTGGATAAATGTAATTGTATTTTAGCCTCTTCTGTGGTATAATTAATGTTATGTTGAGAGGAAATTATAGTCAATTCAGAAAGTGGGAAAATTGGCGAGTGTCCCTTAAACAATGACCACCTAGCTGACCACTGTTTGTGAGTAAGTCAGTAAGTGCTGTCCTGTATTGACAAGAAAATGGTTTCTCAGGGTGAGTGGTCACCCTAAGTAAAAAAGAAAAAGAAAACAAGGTTGTTGTTTATATCAGTGGTTTCTCAGCTATAAAGAGGCCGGTGCTGGTTTGGTCCCCTGTACACAGTGCGCTGTAACAATATGGTCAAACCATCAATCCATCAACAGTGTGCTAATACATGTGAAACTGCACTGGATTGTTTTTTCTTGTCTTTGGTGTTTTTGAAGTCATTTGAAGCTGCTAGGTCTGAACTCTGCTGACTGTACACTGCAACCACAGAATGGGGACACATTAGTGTCTCTGTCAGCTCGCTGTACCTGTTCCTATAAACTGGAGAGTACATTGCTTTTATTGGAAGGTTGTTTTCTTAACAGCTCACAATAAGCAGATAGATGTACTAGTTGTTTAGTATTTGAATTAATTCTGAACTCTCATATGTTCTCAGACAGCCCTGTGGTTGGTCTGCTTTCTCTTTCACAGTGCTGACAAAGCCAACATTAGAATGAACATAATATAAAGTCTGTGCAGTATTAAAGCTGCAGTAGGTAATTTTATAAAATAACTTTTTGTCATAAATGCTGAAAACTTTCACTATATCCTGACAGTAGCATGAGACAGATATTTTGTGAAACAATCAGGTTCCTCTGGCTCCTCCTAGTGCTCCCAATGGTATTTGCAAGAATCCACCGTGTCTGGACAAAAACAACCAATCAGAGACGAGAAGATGGTTGATTGCGTCCCATTCCCAAAGTGCCTGTATTTGACACCCTGGGCAAATGAGACAATCAACAGTCTTCAAGCTTCCAACCCAAAGCTTCTTTCTGTCATGCTCTGCTCTAATTGGCTGTTTTCATTCAGGCCCCGGTGGATTCTTGCAAATATTTTTAGGAGCACTAAGACGATGTAACAGTGAAAAAGTCCACTGATCTGGATGGAGTCTCTTCACAGCAGCACATATATCAAGGTGAGCTATGTTGCAGTTAGACTGGAAAGTCTCAATGACGTTCTGTCTCTGTACTTCACTCTCTAACTTTGTTTATATACACTAAAGAAGAAATGTGGCTTACACAACCACAGTGAAGCACATTTACAGAAACACACATAGCAGCATGAAGGAAAACAGTGGAAAGGGCAGCAAAGTGAATGAGAGTACAGGGCTGTGTGTGTTTGCATTCATACGGCTGATTGCTGATTTTCTGTTGGTGTTTTTTTTTTTTTATCCCAGAAATGATCAGATGAAAGGCGACATTAGCTCAGCTTGTTTCTCTGATAACTTACGATCCAGACATCCGATGACTAAAATACTTCATGGATGGTAAAAATGTGGCTTCGAACTGAGAATTGGTGTCACCTGTACAGATGCTGATGAGTCGGACTGCATTTGTCCAGATTTACAATGAGGCTCAATGGAAGCTTTTCAGCAGCAAGAGATGACAATCGAGAACTGGTTCCAAATGTTCTGGTCCAACTGATTTGTATGCCTCCAAGCTTATCAATTAATTTGTATTGATGCCGGCATGTTTTTCTGACAGTAGTGTAGTGTTTCCCATTAATTACATAGAATATGGCAGCTTGCCACGGTCTCATTTGTTCCACCACTGTTTCCTAATGAACCCAAAATGTTTTTACACTTTTTACACATCTCAATTAAAAAATATTTGGATTCACTAAATAAAATTAATTATATCACCTCAGAGAGAGAGAGAGAGTGAGAGAAAGAGAGCCGGGACCTGAAATGACAATGACTTTGATTGCCAGTGTTAAAAAAATGTATTAACTAGGGATGCACGATATATCTGCATTAATATCGG